CCCCCTGGTGGACAGTACTGCCCCCTGGTGGACAGTACTGCCCCCTGGTGGACAGCAGTGACATGCACAGAGTACAGGACAGGAGAGAAAAGTACTGACCTCCTCCTCAAACTCTGAGCCACTCTCCTCACTGTCTGAGCGTGGAGCCACCTCATATCTGAAAACAGGAAACTAAAGTGAATTAAGTGATACCAAACTTGGTTTTAATTTAAGACAGTATCATTGGATTAGGATAAAACTACATGATATTTGGTRACAGAAAAGAAACTACTGAGGCTCCATGTAGAGTTAAAGCTGTCATAGTGAAGTTTCTGAGTGTTGTACTGATAAAAAGCTCATCTTATAAATTACTGAAGTATAAAAACAGCTAAATTAATACATTGCTGTACAAAACAAAAGCTCTTAAATGATGAAGCTCTGTACATGTTGTATAATACACTTATACTGTACACACACCTTTGATTGTACTGAAGTCTGCAGAAAAACATAGAATTACTAATCCTATTTTGATTTAGCAAAAACAGAGTAATTACTAGAAAACATTACAGTCACCCAAAAATACATTATTTGAAATTATAGACATTTCATGATTTGCTTGATTATATCTAAGACGTTATGTATAAGCCTCATAAAAACATCCCAGCTTTAAACATCCAATCTAAATGTGTTTTGAGAGAGCTGCTGTATAACCTTAAAGGAATTTAATGTTTTTAACTGCAAATCTGAACCAGTTTAAAGGAAAGAAGGTGTACAACTGTGGAATAATAAACTGATGTTTAAACTTTATAATGACAATGGTAAAGGTTAGTTTGATGAACAAACGTGATTTACTGTATAATATGTGTGTGTTGTAATAAACTGCTGTTCAAGCACAACACAATAACACAATACTGATTTGTTGTTTGTTTCAACTTCATTTTTGTGAAAAAAAGGAGGCAGGTACAAGAATATTTATTTTTTCTGCTTCCTGTCATTTCATCTGACTTGTGTTTTGTTTTTTGTAAATAGATTTTATTTTTTACTGAATGAATAAATAAATAACTGAATAAACAAAACAAAAACACAAAGTTCAGACACAGCTTTTCATGTGTGTGCTGCACTGAGAGCCTGTCTGAACCCTCAGACCAGAACCAGACCCTCAGACCAGAACCAGAAGGCGAGGCAGGTGAAGAGTCTTGCCAAAGGACACAAACAACTGAGACAGATGGATTGCGGGATGGAACCAGCAACTAGGGCTGGGTGATGTGGCAAAAAAATGATCAGGATTAATTTTTTCATGTTGTCTGATCTTGATTAATATCAGGTGTATTTGTTAGGCTAAAAAACGACAGAAAAATAATTTAACAAATAAATAGCTCCAGAAAATAAAGAAATATTTCACTTTCACTAATATAACAAATAGCTGTGGTTCAGTAGAACATTAAATTATTTTTGCAAATTATTTAAAAAGTATTTACCAAGAAAAAACATTTATGTGTAAATCATAGAATAAGAAATTAATAGTTATTCTTCTGTAAAATTAAAGTTTTAGAATTGAATTTCACATTAAATATGTCATAAAGAAACAAAAACCCTACAAACAACAACAGTTTGTGCACACTGCCAACTGAACAGGATCTAAGCTCATTACTTTTGTGATGGAAGCTGTGTTCATGTTTCCAGCAGAGGAGGAGGAACAGGAAGTGCTGGAGTCAGCTGCTGCTGACTGAGGAGCAACAGTTCACAACCATCACGACTCTTATGGTGCGTTCACACCGAACGTGATTTCAGCGTCAAAATGGCAGCCAACGCTGAAGTTTGAAGCTTGTGCAC